GTTATTTGGGCCTCACATCTTATTTCCGTAGATTTGTTAAGGATTTTGCTGTCGTTGCCAGACCACTGACAAATCTGATGAAGAAGGATGTTTGTTTCAAAATGGGCGAGGAAGAGTTAGCAGCATTCAATCAGTTAAAAGTTTATTTATCCTGTTCCCCTGTTTTAAAACTGTTTGATCAGAAGGGCTATACAGAAGTTCATTGCGATGCAAGTATGTATGGGTATGGTGCCATACTCTTACAAAAGGACTCGGAGGACCAAAGTCTCCACCCGGTAGAATATATGAGTCGTAAGACAACCCCAGCTGAAGAAAAGTATCCTTCATACGAGCTTGAAGTACTCGCTATAGTGCAGGCTCTTAAGAAGTGGAGAGTTTATTTGCTTGGTAGAAAGATAAAGATCGTTACTGACTGTAATGCTTTTGCGTTAACGATGAAGAAGCAAGATGTTCCAGTGAAGGTATCTCGTTGGGCCATATTTCTGCAGGACTTCGATTATGAAATTGAGCATCGTTCAGGGACAAAAATGAAACACGTCGATGCATTGAGTAGAGTGCATTGTTTATTGTTGGCAGATTCACTAAGACACCGAATAAAGCAAGCTCAGCGTCAGGATGAGTGGATAGCAGCAATTTGTAAAGTGTTAGAGTCCGGTACTTACGACGACTTTTATTTGAAGTATGAAATCTTGCACAAGGACCCAGTTAAGGAATTGATTGTAATACCAACCAGGATGGAAAACGAAATCATAATGACAGCTCATCGTCAAGGGCATTTTGGTGTTAAAAGAACTACCGATTTAGTGCAGCGAGAATACTTTATTCCAGAGTTGTTAGGGAAAGTAGATAGGATTGTTAAGTCTTGTGTAGAGTGCATTGTGAGTGACGCGAAATTTGGAAAGAAAGAAGGGTTTTTGAATGTAATCGACAAATCTGATGAGCCTTTGCAAACATATCATATCGACCATATCGGACCGATGGAGTTGACTAGGAAACAATATAACCACGTTTTAGTAGTTGTCGACGCTTTTTCTAAATTTGTTTGGCTTTATCCAACAAAGAGTACAGGCGCCGATGAGGTGGTTGACAAGTTGCAGAAACAGGGCGAAGTATTTGGAAACCCAAAGCGCGTGATCACCGATAGAGGTACCGCATTTACTGCACACGTGTTTGAGGAATATTGTAAGGAACAGAGTATCCAACATTTGCTGATAGCGACAGGAGTGCCGCGTGGTAATGGACAGGTGGAGCGAATTAATAGGGTGGTCACTACTATGTTAACCAAACTTTGCGCAGAGGATCCGAAAGCCTGGTACAAGCATGTAGGTAGGGTACAATCGTTTATAAATTCCACCCCTCCGAGAAGTACTAAGATATCTCCATTTAAGATTCTGACAGGCATACAAATGAGAACCAAGTATGACAGTGATATAGAAAAGCTTGTAGAGGAAGAGTATATTTTGGAGTTGCAGCAGGAGAAAGAAGATATTCGCAAGACAGCTAAAGAGAACATAGCACAAATACAAGATGAAAATCGCAAGTTATTCAACAAGTCCCGAAAGCCAGAAAAAGAGTACCAAGTCAATGATATGGTCGCTATCAAGCGTACCCAATTTGGCGCCGGATTGAAGCTGAAGGGAAAATTCTTGGGTCCTTATGTTGTGACGCGTAAACTAAGACATGGCCGGTACATTGTTGAGAAAGTGGGCGATGGTGAAGGGCCATTAAAGACCAATACGCTGGCAGAGTATATGAAAATGTGGTCTCCATCATTCGGGTCGAATAATGAATCAGGACGGCCGAATGTAGGGTTGGCAGCTCTTGAACCAGCAGATAATCATCGGACTATCGGGGTGGTCAGTCCAGGGTAGTCTAAGAAAGTATATCGTTTTAGGAGTAAGAGTTTGACTTCGGAAGCGAGCAGACGTTGTGAACAAGTTATGAATAAACTTTAATTTAATTTGATTTAATTTGCACATGAATAAATATTGTACTCAATTGATTAAAACGACGACGTGTGGTGTACTTATTATTGACGGAGTTTCTGGAGCAGATTTTTACTCACTCGTAGGGAACTCACTAAAGATCCCTACATACATATACGAGTACACATGCTAAAGTGTCCACTTTGAAGAATTTAAATATGATTCTTAGAATTATCCTGGCACATTCTGATGGCAGTATTCTAAATATATTTCATTTAACAAGCTGTTGATAATTTATTTCATTAATTCCCATTTAACTGAACCATCACTAGAAAAGCAAACAAAAATGTAATTATAAACACTCTGAAATACGAGTATATAAATAATTCGCACAACGGTCTGTATGCTCAATTCTTCTTACCTCTGTTCACAAAGCCTACATGAAGTCTAAAAAGAGATATGAACATTATGTAGGTGATGTAAGGAAGCACTCCCATAAATAATATACATATATTTTTAGTCTTTAGTGTTTTGTACTTTTTGTAGAAAACACGAGTTTATTTAATATTTTTGACCCAGTGTATACCGTTTTACTGCCGGGCTTGTTTAATTGTACTTACTAAGTACTCTCTATGGCTACTTTGTAACACCAAACTGAATTGTCCAATGACCGGAAGGGGACCAATTTTGTTCTTTTTTCAATATGTCATACTGTAAAAAAAAACTTGTATATGTAATTGGGAACTGAAATTATAAGAAAAGAGCTGCGGCGCCTACAATTGTATCCTCAAATGCTCACACAAGCCTCAGTGCTTCGTATGAGTATTATTAAGCCTTAATTAAACCTTTTACTGCAAAAACTTTTACACAGCAGTTCCGTGAATCTTTAATGAGAGAAATTGAATAGATTTTTCCTATGATCGAGCAATTTTTTTGTTGCAGAAATGAAGGGTACCAGAAGCAAGCTGAAATGCAGTATACTTCTCTGATTAACGACTTTGTACTGTTGTAAAGGGTAAGGGAAATTTAAATTGTCTGATTGAAAATAATTATAATTTCTTAATTAAAGCAAATATTTTATTTCACCCATTTAAAGGCGAGGTTTTAGGCGAAATATAGGGTTCTGGGGCTTAATGTCTTGGCCCTCCTTCGATACGCCTATGTACATACACATAAGTACATGCTTAAAATGTTTAATACAATATTGGTATTGAAGCTTAAAATAAAAGTTTACTTCTAAAAATTGTAAACATAATCTAATTTTAATATTATAATTCTATACTGAGGTCGAGCCAGGGACTAAAGCATTCGACGCACTTGGAATTAGAACAACAGTCCACAAATGCTCTATACAAATTCTACTGAGTACTGAAAATCCAATTGAATTGCATTTCAATTGTATTTCATATTAACTTCTATGGCAGTACTTGGAGTTTTTCAAGTGCAGAGTTGTTCTTATCTGACAATTTGTGCAGCACCAGCCGAAAATCCAGAAAAATATTTGGCATGTGCCATGTATGGCTTTGTTCCGTGCCATAATTGTCAGGCAAACCAGTAGGCTCAGGCTCATGCTCACTCTAGTGCTCCCAAATACATATTCACTCATAAACATACCCGTACATATATCAAGCGATGTCCATGAATATATGTACACGACCTGCAGATGTGTGCTGATGATGAAGCTGATGCAGAGTACCATTCAACCCCCGAGGCGCTAGGAACAAGCCATGGTATACCATTGTCGATTGCTGTTGCACACTGAGATTTAGTTCAGGACGGCAACAGCAACAACGACTAGGATCAGTCAGGCAGGCAGCAAGGCAGCAAGGCGGGCTGGCAGGCTGGCAGGCAGGCAAGCAGGAAGGCATGAAGGCAGCCAGCATGCACTGAGCATGTGATTAGATTCAGTTTCAATGAAAATTGAAATCACAGACAAAGCGGAGTGTACAATATTCAGGACGGTAAGGAGGGTTGGAAGCACAGTGCAAAAGTAGAGACGATAAAAATGCCTAAAACGAAAAACGAAAGCCAAAGGACGAACAAATATCTGGTGCTCTTGTAGCTCGGCATTAAAAACATTCTACACCGCCGATTGTGTGAGTCATAGTTGCTATTGTATTTGTGTGCCTCAGATTGTGTGTTGGCTATATTTTTGTGTGTTTCTGTAAGCGTGTGCTCGTGGATGCTGCACTGTAGCACCAACCACTAAACGTCAACCACCGACGTCAACACCACGCACAAACCAACACACATTAATAATATTCTTTCGCAGCGAGATTAACAGGCAAGCGCAGGCCAAGCGACGGCGAGCAAAATTATAATCGGCAGCGGTGGTGACGGCAGAAGAAAATCGGAAAATCGTTATACGGGATACAACACCACAGATTCATAGCCGCGGCGGCGTCTGTCGTGCCCCGGCCTCACACTCGTGCATTGCGTCCGAATCCTGCCGCAGCATCAGCGGCAGCCGAATTTTAATTTTGTGGTGCGTGCGTTTTAATATAATTTCTCTGATTTCTCGGATGTCCTGCTCTAGAGCGTAAAGTCTGTAAAGTGATTTGCGGTTAATTTAAATAAATAATCCCTAAAGTGTGGCATATATTTGCGACTACTCGCATAAAATAAACAAACGAAATCAGTGAAGTGTATGCAAAAGTAATAAATTTAAAGCTTCTTATTAACAACCACAAATTGTTAACCGTTACAAAAAACAATATCGTTGCGAAATATATGTCTTACTAAGCCGTGCTATAGGCTTATAATATAGCAAGCTTTTATAAAGTTTAATTTTTAAAAATAATATATTATACGAGTATTAAATGAATTAACAAATTGATGTGCAAACTTTTTGAATATGCCACAAAAACTCGAAAGCTTTAAGCGCCGCATTAGTTGCTAAATTAAGCCGCCAGCTGGCGATTTACTTCAATGAGCTTTTTGAGGGTTGAAAATCAGATCGCAGCTTGGCAACCCTAAGCTGCTGCAGCAGCGGACCATCCAATCCTAATTAGACGCTCAGCATCTACAAAAGTTTGCTAACTTTGTTTATTGTTTTTGCTGTTCATTGCAGTCGCTCGACTTCATGGATCCCTCCAACCTACCGTTCGGCTTTCCCGGCCTGCCTGGTCATGGACACATGCCCATACCACCCACGGCTAACATGTTGGGCGCACATGCCCATCCGGGACCTACAGCCAGTCCTCCACAAAGTGTGCCTGGCCGTCGAACACCGCTCGGTTCGGTGGGCCTTGGCGGCTTCTATGCCCAGGGACTGGGCATGACGCAGCAGGGTCTAACGCCTACGGACGAGAATAAGCCCGGCCCCAGTGCAGCAGAGAAGCCTCTGAGCCCAACGGCCGCAGCGCTGGCCGCAATCAGCGGTGGTACCACAACTGCGGCGGCAACAAGTGTGTCTGGCGGTGGTGGTGGTATTGGTGGCAGCGGCTCTAGTGGAGGTAAACAGAAGAATCGACAAGGCAAGACGGTACGCCTGAACATAAATGCTCGGGAACGTCGACGCATGCACGATTTGAACGACGCCCTCGACGAGCTGCGTAGCGTGATTCCTTACGCCCATTCTCCCTCGGTGCGAAAGTTGTCCAAAATTGCGACCTTGCTGCTGGCCAAGAACTACATATTGATGCAGCAGAATGCACTGGAGGAGCTGCGCAGGTAAGAAAGCTGCACGACCACAAAAAATATCGATCTTACAACAGAATAACTCTTGCAGATTACTGGCCTATATACAAAGCACTACGGGAGCAGCCCCCTTGGATCTCGGAGCGTTTCCAGCAGCCGCCAAGCTCCAAGCCTTGCTTCAGGGACCACATAATGAGCCACCAACCAGCAGCAACAGTTAGATGCTAAAGGGTTTTAAACACAGATATGAAGCAATTTTAACCGCAATATTAATACGAAGGTCCAAAAATTGTTTTGTCATCTTTGAAAACATTTATTATTGGGCCGCTCGTATTATTGTTTGTAATCATTTATTAGGAATAAGTTAACTTGCAAGCCAAATTATTGTGCACTAGTCATAGCATTGGCCGATGGCCTATATGCGAATCTGTTAAGTGATATTTAGTTCTTTTGTAAGAATTTCTTTAATGCATTTATTAACGTCTACTTTACTTTCTTACGAGCTTCATACTCGCTCAAGTAATAAAGCATTAATATGTATAAGAATTTAAAATTGGGTATACATAATATTATTCTCCACCCTGTACTCAAAAGATTGTTAGGATTGTTAAAAATGTGTCTAACGGGCAGAAGGAAGCATCCCCGACTCCATATACTTTATGTCTTTATACATGGTCTGTTTAAAGGAGGGGGAAATTGTGCATTTTTTTGAAAAGCATTTATTTAATCTTCAATGTGCCCTTTAAAGTAATCCCCCTTAGATATAATGTACTTATGCCAGCGCTTCTTCCCAATCCTTGAAACACTTCTGAACTGCACTTTTACGTATGGCCATCAGCTCGTTTTTTGATAAGTGCCATGGAAGACCTTATATAACTTCTATAACTTCCTTGTAGTATTCCTTATTAACCGTACGACCTGTTTGCAAGAACTCATGAGGCACCACACATTGTAGAAAACAGTGAGCAAAATGTTCACCTTTTCTTGAACAGCCCTCGTATATTCTCAGCAAGGCAAAACAGATTTATCTAGATATGTCTGTTGGTTTTTTTGTTTATCTGGATGATCAACCAAACTTGACTAAAGTATATAAGTCACGAGTTTGTCGATATTGAGGAATAGAAGTACACTAGATTGGAGATATACTTACGAGCTACACTCGTGTGACCAAAAGAATTATAAGATCCATATAAATAATTATATAGAATGGAGATTTTTATTTGTTCTAAATAAATTAAGTACTAAGAAGTTCAGCCAGTAATTATAAATGCATTGCTAAGTCTCTGAAGCGTTCACAAACACAAATTCTTTGGAGGTATTAGGGATTGCAAATAGTTGGACTGTGTATGACATAAAGATTACACTGAATGGATTCCAGAACATTTCCGGGACTATCACTCTGATTATCACTAAATAGGTGAATAAGTTAATTGTTGATGCGTACAAAACTTTTGTTTTTCAGTATAGGAATAATCCTAAAGCAGATAATTGGTAACCTATTAGCTAAGAAGTTTCAACAAATAACGGCGGACGGTAATGTAGTAAGCCAAATGATTATTTCACAACAACGTTCTTCATTCCGGTATGCCCGACGACAGGACCCGATTCTGGCCAGTGCGGAATATCCGCTGTTCTGTGGGCAGTTCACCGATGAGGAACTCACGCATTTTCTCGATGGCAGCACGTGAGTGTCCTGTGCCGTGGAAGGCTATGGTGGCATCGCGACCTGCATGATCCATGATCACATCCTCACCTCCCGGATGATCGTGCAGGAACTGTGTGACATCATAGACCCGATCATATATCACTATCCAGCAATCATCGTAGCTGTCGTGATGAGCCACCTGCTCCAGCGTCAGCTCCGGCAATTGCTGATCCGTAAGCTTCACTTTCGCCTTATCCGGCATGATTCCCACTTCGGCCGCATGCGTTGGGAGCTTAGAGTGCGTCATGGGCACGATTCGCAAGGTTTGCAGCAGAGTGGTCAGCGTCGATGCCATAATCAGATCAGTTTTGTGTTGCACTTGGACTTTCACTTTTATAATAAATCGATCGAATCGCACTGTTTTACAATCATGCGACGTCACTGGGGCGTCAAGTAGTGTGCCGTTTGCGAAAGAGTGTATTGTATGGTGTAAAAATAATTATGTTACTATTGTTCAGCTTGGATGCTGTCAAGTCCGGTTTGGTTGTGTCTCGCGCGACTACTGTCAGTCGAGTGCCAATATTGCTTTCGGTTTTAATCGTTTTATAAATGCCTACTATACACGTGAGCCGCCCCGACAATTGCGACTGAGAAGACAGCCGGACACATCGACGAAGTGTCTGAGATTGAGAGCAATCCATACCATAGACGCAATAGAGTCGAGCTTAGAACGAAACTTGTTTTAATTATAGATGAGTGTGTATGTTTGTATATATATGTACATATATACATATGTCTACATATAGTATATAGTTGAAAATGTAATATTCTTATCAATTAACACCACTTTGCTGCCGTATTTCTTAAACGGCATCTACAGCCGATATTCTTTAGCGTGCACTTAAATACCAAGTATAACATGAATAATAATAAAAGGCATACATAGTAATGAAAGTAGTAAATTCAATAATATTAATAACGGCAAGAGATATTTTTTTTTTAACAAAAAGTGCAAACATGAGCATATCCGTGGAATTTTTGAATTTGAAAATAACTATTTTCGTATGAATGAACAAATTTTAATTGCTTTTGAATGGTCATTGTATGTCTTCGATTTAATGGCGTATTGAAGCCAAAATAGTTATAGAAATAATCATAATAATAATACATAATACTAATCGTGCAAGCTTTTTTACTTATTATCGATATTTCTAAATAATAATGATAACTTTTTTCTTTTCAAACAAAAAGGGCAAACATGTATGTAAGAACAAATCTGCAGTCTAATTATTGTCTTTCAATTGTTGTGTGCCTTCGATTAATTTGGGCATTGAAGTCAAAATAGCTATAGAAATAATCAAAATAATAATACAGTAGGTGCACTATAACTGTGTTCGTCTGTATAGCGTCCGATCGTACAACCATTTTATTGATTATCGCCGATTCTAATTGATTTATTAGCAGCGGTTGAAGTGCGTGGAATTCCATTTTTGGTATAAAACCATTAAGTGTAATTTAATGTTGTCCAGTTGACTGACTGGCTTCAGATTATTAACCTCCCTGTGATAAAGCCTGAGACAATTTGCCGCCTTAAATGATTTATGTTGTTTTTCCTCCTTTACATTGTGAATAATTGGTGATAATGCCAAACGTTGAATTCAAAAGCTAAGAAAAAAGATTCACAAAAATGCAAAATTGAAACGATTTTTTAAAACGTACTCATACGTTGTTTAATAGATTAAATATTATATGGACGACGAGCTCGCAGATAATACAAGTAGTTTAAAGCTGTCGATTCGAAATGGCGCCGAAATGAGACGCGTGTTCCAACTACTTATTCAAACTTATACTTATTCAAATTACCAACATTGCTTTATGCAAGCAAGTAAATATAGTAATTAAAAACTCATTTAAAAGGGCTGACGAAATAGATTAGATTACAGCGCATTAAGAAGACCTATATGTAGTATGGCAAACAAAATGTTGTCCTTAATATTGTTCTATTTTCTCACCAATTGAATTCAAAACAATGAATAATTTATACAAATTCAACACAATAATATTATTATTATTATTTATAGCAAGCTGTTAGGTGGGGGAAAAAGAAAAAACAAATGCTGCGTCAATCGCCAATTAGTTCAAGTTCTATGTGTGGTTTGAGAACTTGTGATACTTGATACGTTTTAATTGCTGTTTAGATCAGCGGCGACCGCATAAGCTGTCTCGTAATTGCGCACGTAAGTTTGGTGTTTTATCATAAAAGTCGGTTACACCTCTTGACTTTGACTTTGAGGTCGTAACGATTGCATTTATTACCGCCAAGTAGGCTGGCAATATTAAGTTTCCAAATGTGATGAATATAGGCTTAGGAAGTCTGGAATGTGTTCATACTACAAACATACATATTTCACATAATGCGAGTCTCTACGATTTCCAGCCTCAGTTCCAGCTCGAAATTATTTCTCTGCATTTCCTTATCACTAAGTTTAAAATCGAGCTGCGTAATCACGCATAAACTTAGCAAGAGAGACCGACGTTATCTACGCACTTTGTACATATATTTCCGTAACGAGTGATCATCAGCCGGATTTATGCTTCATATTTATATATTATTTCATCATTTTGTTGTGGAAATAAATTTGTTTTAATACTTAAACAGCCTATTAATGTAATCTGGCGACGACCCCACGCAAATACTTAATCACTTAGCAAATGATGCCTCGCCATGTTGATGACGAGGCGAAAAGCGTGGCAAAAACAATTTTGTTGATTATTTGGGGTCAACGCAAATTATTTATCAGCAATAAACAAAAATAAATTATTGTGTCAATTTTTGAATTAAAAAATGTAACCTCAACAAATCATAATAAAACGAAATCAAAAAATATTCACGCTCATTATCAACAAATAGCGCAAGTGGACGTATACTAATTATTTAAATTTCAAGCTTGATGGGGCAACGCCGAAAATAACTGTAATTTAGTAGAGCTTTTCCATTGAAGCTTTAGCTAGTGCTGCTAGGTATGGATGTAGTATAGTACTATATTTCAAAAGGGCGTGAGCGCGCTTTTTTTGCACACGAGGCAGCTGTTGCTCATGGCGAAAGCTTTGATGAAAGCTTCGGTGCCGTAAATTGCAGTTTTTGTTTTGATAAAGATGCCGGTTTTAATGAAAATTATGTCAATTATTAATAAACATGAATTTAATTAGCCATTTTTTTGAAGATGTTTGTCAATGGTATGCAACTGTTTAACTTTTGAGTCATTTAATACTTGAAGCGTCCATTGATGCGCGCCTACCACAAAGTACTGTTAACACTTATGTTGCAAAACTTTGTAGCTTCCACACTTGCTGTGTTTGTGTGTGTGTGTGTGCGTATTTGGCGTACTGCGTACAAATTTTGGTGAACGACAACACAGTCGAGTTTCAGCAGCGCGTTGGCCCAGTCGCAGTTGCTAGTTGCTGTTGGTACACATTTTCGAAGTCAGAGTCAATTGAATTTACCGTTAAAAGGATTGACAAAGTGGCAAAATTAATGAAGTTATTAAATTTCAAAAGGACTGAGTAATAAGGAAATTGCATTTCAAACCAAGCGGACAACATGCGAGCACAAATGGTATGGGCTTGAAGCATATTGAGCATACGCCACGTTGAGCGCAGTAATACGACAACATATTGTTGGAAAAGGAGCAGAAAAAAGAAAACGACGAAGGCTTTCAAAACTATTTGCAACATCATTTTTTGTTTGTCCTTGTAGAACTTTGCAGCTAGTAGCAGGTGAGTTGTGCTTGTTTGGGATTATGGTTGGGTTATTTTAAAATTGTATACAGACCATATCTAAATTATTAATAACTGTTTAGTGTGCGTAGTCATGCGCCCAAAAAAATATTTGTATTTGCCATTTCCGGGCCATCAATATTTTGAAGTGCACTTTCGTTTTCATATTGCTGGCCCAGCCCACACGCACGCACTCAAAACTTAATTGAATATTTATCAGTTGATTGCAGGCTCAATTACTGTCAACACTCATACGAAGCGTGTGCCGATATTACCATAAATTCCCCTGTCGCCCATGCAAATCCAATTTAATTTAATAATCCTATACCAGCACAGAACGGAAACTTGCATACTTGTATTAAACGTTTCTTGCAATGTCATGTTTTCTTTTCTATAGCCAGATGATGGTGATACCGCCATTATCTGTCATGTATTTAGGCCTTATTGCCTGACGTTTAAGGCGCAATTTACAGTTGCCTCCCATCACATGCTGCTGCTGTGGAGCCAGTTGAGGTTTTCTCACATGAAATGCTTGGTCGCAGGCTGTTAAGCCCGACAAGCAGGCAAGCCCGACTGTTTGCCTTGTGAGCCACTCAAACACGAGCACGCCCTTGAAGCACACGGCCCCGACCTTTGCACAAACACAAAAACAAACATACACGCACACTCACACACACACGCACACGCACATACACACAACTGCACTCTAGCGAATACGATGAAGCAACATATTGCGTGTCGGAAAGTCAACAAGTTGCATTATAAAATTGCATAATATTTTACGAGTATGTATATGTTTGCCAGGCTTGTCCTGACCCGATCTGGCCATGAATATTTATCACGTGTCCGGAATTAATGCATTTTTAATGCTGCCACCACATTGAGGGCTGTGTCTCATGTCTCAATAAAGCTATTGGGTGCCAACGGATGATGAACGCTTCCGTTGTTTGCTTACTTGTTGAATTACAAAGCGAGGCATTAGGAATTGGGGGACCCCAACTGGGAGTTGGGAACCTCACATCCTAATATGCTACGTATGTTGCCCTCGAGTGTGTGTGTGTGTGTGTGTGTGTGTGTGTGTGTGTGTGTGTGGGCGCCTTTGTAAGCTGCTGACGTTGTTGTGCGCGTGTGTGTGTTCAGATTTTTGCCATACACGGATGGTATTAATGTCACACTTATTGTTTTCTCTTATTTATGTTCTTGTTTCGGCTGCCTTTTTATTTGCTCACTGTTCCAATAAAGGTTATGGGGGCGCCTCTTCACTGCAGGCTGTGTAAACAACAAGTGTCTTGGGCTTTTTGCGTTTTAATGAGCGCTTTATTGTTTATTTTTATGCCTCAGCCGGCCGGCAAGGCATTGTTTTTGAAGGTTTATTAAATGACTGTTTATTCTGTGTGTTGTTTTTCTTGTTGCCAACTATTCGACTGGCTTTGTGTTACTGACTGTCCCGCGGCTTAATGGTCTGTGCCAAGTCGACATATGGCTGTTGATTTTTACGACAATTTCAGCATTTATTTTAACATAATTTGGTTGAGTTCTTGGAGAGGATAGGAGATGGTCTATTGTCTTAAATACGTCCCGCAGATTCATCGACAATTTATGGGCTTTGCGTTGACCTCCCTAAACTGCCTATAAATATTAATTGACAACTAATTATATAAGTCTATAGATAAGCAGTGAGCTCTGCAAAAGGGTTTGCACATGCACGCACATATCAGCTTTTTTACGAGTAGGTGGCTCGTCTAGCTCGTCTAGTTTGCAGACATCAGTGTGGCGAAAGGACATCGCAAACAATGCCAATGGCAGCCATAATCAAGTCGCAACAATAACAACTTTGTCTCCCCATCCCACCGCCTCCACATTACTATCAACAACTGACGACCATGATAATGATGTTGTTGATGGCGACAGACTACAGCCAGCTATGTCATTACATGAGTACGAGTATTACAAATCGCTCTTGGCTGTCTGCGTGTTGTTGTTGCTGCTTTCAAAAGCTACGAGTATAGTATGTTGGCTATTTGTTATCTAAGCCTTTATCGTGTTGGTGTTGGAATGGAATGAAAAGAAATAAAATAAGATAGCTGCTGCTGACTAGGAGATGAAAGAGGAAGATTAAGCAAGAATTTCTCCATTTGCGAAGTACGAGTACATGAGTTAATGGCAACACGACTACCGGCATTCGATCAACCACATACAATATGGTGTTGTATTGCCTTGAACTTTCATCTCATTGTGATTATCTGTACTGCTTGTGTCGTATTATCTTTTGGTAGTAGTTGAAAGTTGATGGTTAGCTTGCTTTGTGAACTCAGAATAAAAACTTTTTCGAAGTTGCGATCCATTTTGACTTCATCTGAGATGACGTTAATTAAGAAATTTAAAGGGTTCTAATGAAAAACAAGGAAAATAATGTATCCACACAACGTTAGATAGACCTTACCTTTGGAAAAATTGAAAATACAAATAAATAGAATGAAAATATAAACTGTATTGTAAGATAAACGGCCATGTGTTTTTTATTAATCAGAACTAACTCAAATAGCTATTAGATATAAAATGAGAAACCTGAATAGGTTGAAAACTTGTACATTTTCAAATATAAATTGAAAGGAAGAATTAGCAATAAAAAATCAGGAACAATTAAAAATAATTTATTTGATTTTAAATAAGTGAAATGCCTTTGATTCCACTCGCTAAAGTGGAGAACTTTTGAAAGTGAAATTAGGACTTATTTCAAGGAAGTCGCATTTCTCTTCTGGCAATTTTTGGGCTGGAAATGGTAGCGAATTGAGGTTTTTCCACTCTTTGAATTGCAAAATGTTTTTGTCCACTGTACAAGAAACGCCACCCAAAAAAGCGAATATTATTACTATATTTTAAGTCAAAAAGTCATTTTGAAATATTGCATTTTTGCATAAAAGAATTTAATTTATGCTTAAATATTCTACACCCAACCAGAAGTGTTTTAAAATTCACTTTAAATACACAAAGGCATTGTGCGGCGCCACACTGTGACTTCTCCAGAGCCGTAGGCTCTTTGTCTGGGGTCCTATCTCCGCAGCAGGTACCTGGCAAGTTAAGTTTGCCGACGCCTTGGTAATCTTATTACCAGCACGTCTACCTGAAGCTGACCGGAATGCTCAGCACCAGCAAAAAAAAAAAAAGGAAGAAGTACTTTTCTGCTGTGCTACTGGCTGGTTGGCTATTGTGTGCGGACAAGGGCAGTTCAGAGTAGAGCAGGCCACTAATTATACTAATGAACATAATTTGGTGTTAATTTGCTCTAATTTGACAGCTTAAGGCGATAATTTTTTTACGGGAGTGTTGCGCAAAAATCGCTGGAAGTGGCCATTGAAGCTGAAAAAAGTGTCAGCAAGGGTGCGGGCGGGCAATGAACCATGCTAAGATTTATCGATTAGATAAGCGTAATTTTAGTCGCAGTAGCATATGTATGCTACACACACACACTACTGTACGTGTATGTGTGGGAGCGTTCTCTGGAATAAATGTGCATTTGCTCTTGACTTTGCACCATTAGCGGAAATAGTGTTATCTGTTATCAGTGGCATGTGGTTGCAAAAAATGAAATGCGATAATGCCCGGCGAAATCATTTTCAAAGCCATCCAGCTAGCTGACTAGCTGAAATCGCGTTTGGGAGGTGTGTGTGTGTGTGTGTGTGTGTGTGTGTGTGCGTGTGTGTGATGGAAAGTCAAAATGGGGCTGACACTTGTATTAATATTTATGGCTCTGGCCATAAATTGTAGCCAGCACACACAAAAAGTTAAAGGCTCTAAAATACATTTAACCCACACGAAAACCGCAGGGCTGTGCATGGCGCGTAATTTGTAGCTGTTTGTGAAAATGTCAAAAAAGTTGACTGGCCGTTAACAGAGATGAAGGCAGGGTCTGGACGACGGCGGGTCGCAATCTGACAGCAGCATTTTCCGATAGCAGTATGACTTGCTTGAACGAATGGTCTCGCAAATCATTCCCCCTGACATTTGCCAGACAGACTGCAAAATGTAAAATTCATTAAAGCAAGCTCTCATACATGGCATACGCATACAGACACACACACATATGCACACACATACTGCCATACTTGTGCAAGTGCCATAAAAGAAACGAAATACAAAAAGTTCCTATAAATAAATAAACAGTCGAGAAGTAATTGAAGAGGAATGCTTTGCAATTGCAAAGGTAAAGCAAAACTGATATAAGAGCGGACACCTACATAGTACTGCGCGTACGTACATTTGCGAGGTTTGTTCAAAAGAAAACTAGTTTTTCTGAACATTATTTAAGTGTAAGGCTAAGTGTAAGCCCTCCTTTAGTACGAACTCGGTCGAACACGTTTAAGAATTTGCTACCCTTTTCTCTTTTAACTCGCTGAAAACCTCGTTCTTGGACGATTGAAGTTAAATATATTTAAAATTTAATTCATATTTGCAATTAATAATAGCTAAATATGAATGTTAAAATAAAAGTTCGCACTTACAAAACAAACTACTGCGAGTATATCAGGTGCTTTATACTCAGGATTCCGGGAACATCTGAAGCTGACGCTATCTATGTAATCAGTACTGGGAAGAAATTTGCCTTGAACTGTTTATTTTATCTCTAAAAGAGCTTAAGGAGAAAACATTGAATGGATATTGAAAGAAATTATAACCACAAAAAAATTTAGTACGAAAATGGTTCTTACATTTCTTACAACTATTAAGCTGCTTCAATATTTTTTACGGTTCAAAATATTTGATATGGTATAGCCAGCAGCTCGTTCTTCGGTTCTGACTTTATCTCATCAATTATTATTGCTTAAAACATTCGAGAAAATTGCACGGCATGAGCCGATTGATATGCCAACATCCTCTGCAATTTCCCTTATAGTGATTCGACGATTTTTGAAAAACATTGTTGACGTGGTTGCAACTCCAGGACGCTCATTATCATCAACGTCTTCTCGGCCTCCTGTAAAGCGTTTCTGCCAATAAAAAGCATTTTTTTGAGACAAAGTGGATTCGCCGAATGCCTCAGTCGACATTTTAGGTGCCTTGGAGCACTTTATTCTATTTTTAACGCAAAATTTTATACATATCCTGTGATCCATTTTCTTTTTCAAATGTCACAAATCGAGGGTCACACAAAAACACGACTAACCTTTTACGTTGTGATCAACAAATTACTAATCCAAATTTGCTGATAATGTGTTCCGACAGAATTTCTTTTCTTAAATAAAAATTTGTACTATATTTTATGAACAGGTCTACTGCTACTTCATGTGGCAGTTTAATTCAGTTGTACATTAAAGGGGAATCCAGAAATTGTCCATAGAATATAACTATGGGATTGCACTTAAATCTATGTATGAATAAAATATTACTATAGAATATGTTTGAAGACTATGATGAATGTAGTTGAAATATGACATCTCATGGGGAGATCCTGCGCGTGATACTTTTCAAGGCTTCTTTTTCTTGGTCTAGAAAGCAGTTGTCTCGCAAGTGCGTTAGGGTGATAACCAAGGCGTCTCTCATTATTTTCTAAATGAGCTTCAATGACATCACCAACCTTTTTCAATGTGCCTAGTCTGAGAATTTTTGCTTGCTCAACTCTTATTTTTTCTTCTGTAGCGGATAAGCCATAAATTGGTAGCGCATAATTCAATATTGGACTTAGAATTTTTTTTTTAATTTTGATAAAACTTTAATCTTACTGTTATTATTTACAACAACTTAAATTAAACTTATAGAAATATACAAATACAGCTTAAACTTAGTCTTATTTAAATATTTATTTCATTTTATTATTAATTATTTATACTTATATTAAATAAATCTATTGGAAATATCAGCAGGGTGGACTTAGGATGGACTTGTAAATTGTAACTTTATTGCTGTACCAACATAAAAAAAATATATATCGATAAAATATAATCCAATGTAAACAGCCCGCGAATATTCAGAATTCACCTTTGCTTTTGAACACACCTCGTACACCCACAAATGCGAATTAATTAAAAAGTTCAGCGTTTTGATATTTGAATAACGTCAGGCACGTCCCCTATATAAGTACATCGTGATGTTGTCTTTTATTTTTCAATGTGGCTGCATACTCTGGGGCGTTGGAAAAATTTTCGCCCACCTGGTCCTGCATGTTTGCGCAGCTAATTGCGGCCATGCTTGGCGCTTAATGACAATTCAGTGACTGCGACCCGACAGTTCTCCCAACAGAGAGGGGGCTTGTAGATAAAGAACACGTGCGGCATTGGCGACAATGGCACCTTAAGTCGCAAAATTAATAACCCAAAGCCAAGCAAGGCTGTAGCGTTTGCTTTGATTTATTTATGAGCTGGCTGACGCATCATGTGTCTATGTATATCTCTGTATATATCTCTGTATATATGTGTTTGTGTGCCTTGACTGAGTAATGTACGTTTTATAGCTGGCGGGTGTGTGATTAATTGTGAGCGGGTTAACGGAATCGAGACATGTTATTGCACTATACTGTTCCCCCTTTTTTTTTTATAGACATGGACATTGTCATACGTGAGGAGGACATATCGTTGGCGCAGATTGGTGTCTATGCTTCAGTCTCCTTTCTGGTGGTATCTGCTGTGGGCGCTGCACTCTACACGACCTGCTCCAGGCGCTATCGTTTGAATTGGTTCGAGAAAAATCTGTTGGAGTCGGCCACTGAGAAGGATGAGGAGGCGCAGAGGTAAGCATACGAGTCCTCGCATAGTAGATGACTAATGACTGCCCTCTTCACTCTGGGTGCAGTCGTGAGGCGCTAGTGACTGGCGCCGTGGGCTATAATGTCGATAATGTGAGTGAATGTATGCGTGGGAAAATGAACAATGCGGGCAATCAAAGCCCGAGCTCGGTTAAGTCCGATGATCCAGCATTTTGGGTGCCGGCTTCGTCAGCCTCGACGGCGGCCGTGCAACAGCAAGTCTCGAATGTGACAGAGGAGTCTGCACCTCCTTCGCCCACCTCACCCACCGGCAGTCTGAAGTCGAACACGTTGTCCTTCTGCTCCACCACATCGGTGCCCATTGCACGATCCGACAAGCATGTGGTGCTGGCCATGCAGCCATCGCGTCCCAGAGTCTCCTCCATGAATGCCAAGCTGGATCACACCAAAATCGACATGACCTTATACAGAAGCGTAAGTGACATGTGTATACCCTTTCTTTACACTCTCTTTAAACCTGCAAATTTAAAGCACTCGCAACCGAAACCCATAACTGCAACAGAGAACAGTAATATGCGCGGTCAGTTGCATGTGAGCATCAACTACGATCCGGTGGCGGGTCTATTAACTGTTCGGTTGTTGGAGGCTCAGGAGCTGCAATCACGTCAATCAAGCGGAACTCCCGATCCCTATGCCAAGATTCGATTGTTGCCGGACAAAAATAATTTCTGGCAGACGCGCATACACAAGAAGACCTTGAACCCAGGTAGAGAGAACTTCAATTCAAAATATTACCATTCCACTTAATTGAGTGATGTTTCCACAGTTTTCGACGAGCACTTCACCTTCGAGGTGAGCCCGAATTCTTTGGATAAGCGCACAATTGAGATCCTGCTGTACGATTTCGATGCATATTCTCGCCACGTTTGCATTGGTGGTACGAAGCTGTATTTGGCAAATTTGGATCTCAACGAGCCCCTCCAGTTGTGGACCCCACTGAGCACAGTCTCTGCCCAGGACCAAAAGATGGACTTGGGCGATATTATGGTGTCACTGGCCTATCTGCCCTCAGCAGGTCGCTTAATGGTCGTCCTAATTAAGGCACGGAATCTGCGAATTGTAGACGATGCACGAAACTCTTCGGATCCGTACATTAAGGTATCGCTCCTGGGCCCAGGCGGCAAAAAGTTAAAGAAGCGCAAGACGGGCGTACAAAGAAATACAATCAATCCGGTCTATAATGAGGCGCTGGCTTTCGATGTGGGCAAGGAGACACTGAAGAGTTGTGTGCTCGAGTTTACAGTTGTACACGATGGATTACTGGGTAAGAGTTAACGATGGTGTGAACTTACCGGAAGCTTACCTTTTGTAATTCACCGCAGGCTCTAGTGAAATACTTGGACGTGCTCTTATTGGCAATTCACCGGAAGTACGTATGGAAGAGAAATTGTTCTTTGAGGAAATGTTTCGTGCCAAAAATGCCACTGCACAGTGGGTGGCCCTCCAAGAGCCTATCATACCGAACAACTTGAGGGGCACAGCCAATGTGGCAACCAAAAATTAAATTGTTTTAAAGCTTTCTCATAGTGGGGACATGAACCAAAAGCTGAACAGCTGAGTGAGCAGCGCGTTAACAGTGGCAACTGTTGCTGTATCCTCTGTAACAGAGCAATGTTAACATCAGCACAGAACCACCTTAGGGACATCACAGGGATACATCGCCTAACGGAAACCGATTCATATCTTGAGTTTGGTCGGGAAATTGAAAATTGAAAAGCTTACGTAATATATATACTATATACTACTAAATATCGTGCGCTTTTAATGGTATTAACTACAAATAACCAATGAATATATAAGTACTTGATAACTTTGTGTGCCATATATACATACTACTACGAGTATATGTCAAGATGTACCTAAGGATAATATAGAAACGTGTTTGCCTATACATACGTATGCATGTAATAGTTATATAAGCGCTTGAAACAAGTGGCTAATGTGTGCAAGGTATGATCTAAATGAAGTGTGTAGTTTAAGGCAAACTCAACAATTTATAGAGAGAACCAATAACATATTTATGGATATACATACTTGTATGTATTACAGCTGGTTTTTATGAAGACGGTTTCAGGGCAAAACAAAAAGGGCACAAGTGTTGGGAAGAGAGTCTTTAGTCACTACTTACTGCTTTTTTCTGCAGTTAATGCAATTATATCAATGAGTTTATTATGCATGTCTAGTAAATAACTTAACCAATATTGTGTATTAGAAAAACTATCAACCTATTAACATAATTATTGTAGCTAATGTGAAGCAAATCAGTCAATGAGCTAAATGCAATTATTTAAATGTAGCAACAGTACAATAGTTCTAGTCCCATTAAATTATCCAGTACTTAGTAATTATCGCATATATTTGTGCATACATACGAGTACGAATAAAATAAAATTTTCAAAGCTCAATAACGTTAAAGTTCGAATTCTTTGCTTTAAAGACTGGTTCGTGGTTTGGTTGCCATTCAATAAAAATGCTATAATATGCCACCACACACAGTCTTTTGAAGCCAACGAAACCAATAAAATGAGAGCTATGTGTTCTTATCCTACTGCCGCTGCCAAACATCGAACAAACACGCACACCCACACCCACACCCACATACGCATTAGAACACACACATACACACACATTTATCAGCTTATATATTTGGCAAATACTTTGCTACTTGTTGACCAACTTGGCGTAAAAAACTTTTACACAACCTTTAACTAATTTCCAACATTGACTGATAAATCCGCTGGGAGCCGCTACATTGGGTGTTTAAGCATGCGTGTGTGTGTATCTGTGTGTGTGTGTGTGTGTGTGTGTCTATGTGGGTGGGTGTGTGCAATTTTAACGTAAATTTCCTTTCAATCAAAATGTGCTTTCATTCAATTTGGAAACGCCAACAAAAGTAACTGTGCGACGAGTGCCAGCGAAGCCATCCACAGTCAAAGCCAACTTTGAACTCTTGCCAAGAATGGTTGGGTGTTGATGCTGCCAAAAAAGCAGGTTAGCTTCTTGAAGGCAGCATTTGATAGATTTTACCAGCACTAAGTATGTATATGTATGTGTATGTATAGTACTTGTATATGTGTGTGTGATAGTGGGCGGGTGTGTTACTGCAGTGGCAGTAGCCGGGAATAACGAGCACAAAACGGGTTGACCGATAGAAAATCAACTTCAAAGATAAGCAACCACACCGCAAGTTAGTTAAATTGTTGGGCATCCATTTAAGTAGAACCCTTCCCCCCACACACTTTGCTCTGTAGGTCTATAAGTATGCTGCAAAGTTTTGGCTGTTTTTCAACACAAATGATGATGGGTATGCATGTATGTCACCTTAATTTTGGGATATTATTATTATTCTTTGTTTGGGTTAAAGTTTGCTTTCTTTCTGATAATTAACATTTTCAAATATTAGACTATCAGTTATTTCATAATTCGGTCAAGACTAAGTCAGCCAACTGAAGTGCTGTAGAGAGTTGTATAAAAACTGATTTTGTTATTTAGTAATGCATGTGCAAATACTTCCATTAATCAGCCAGCAGCAAGCCCCTCCGATCCTAAACAGATTTATCAACATGATTAAATATTATTAGAGAAGGTCTCCAAGACCACATATTTATATAAAATTGTACAGATTTATTATCGAATTAATGAAAATCAATTATTTATAATCTTTCAGCTTGATCCTACTACACTTCTTTTGTTGCTTCATTGTATTGGAATTCCTGATGGAACGTTGGATTTGGTTTCCAATGACTTCCATTAACGATTATTAAGGTATTCTATAATTTGTATGTTTTTTGTGACGTTCCTCACAACCCTCGTCATTTTAATTCATGATTGGGGGAGGCTTCCAAAACAAAGCACCTCATATTTATATATAATTGTTCAGAAGTGTGAACAATTAAAATACATAATTTATTTCATATGGACTTTAGCCTCGTCGTATTTCTTTTCGGTCTTTATTCAGGAATATAGAATTTCTTGTGAAACGTTGCATTTGCTTTTCAATGACTTCCATTAACGATTATTAAGATATTCTATAATCTGTATATGTTTTGTGATGCTGCTCATAACCCGTCTACTCGTCAATTCTAATTAAGATTGGAGAAGGCTTCCAGAACAAAGCACCACATATTTATATATAATTGTTCAGACCTGTGAAAAATTAAAATACATAATTTAATTCACATGGAATTTAGCCTCGTCCTATTGGACTTTTTTTCCTGCTTTTATTCAGGAATATGGAATTTCTGATGAAACGTTGGATTTGCTCTTGAATGACTTCCATTAACGATAATGCCAAATGTTCAGATATTTATGTAGCCCCTTTGGTGGCTTTATTATCTTGTTATTAAAAATGCGCTTACTTTTTTTGTTACTTTGGTTCTTTTGTTATTTTTTTTTTGTGAATTCTTTAAGATCCATTGTTAAATTTAGGCTGTAGCTTGTTTTTAATTGTGCTAACTATTTGTTTGCTTTTCAAAGCAAATATGTAAGCAAGTTTTTTTCTTCCCTGTGTAGAAGTTTTTTTTATCATTAATTTTCAAACAGAATATTGCTCAATTTTGGCCCATCACGCACACACATTCAGTAAATTATTTTCCTCCACTATGCTCTTAAAAAATCTGTCTGCTACCGCATCAACGTCAATTCCAATAAAGCGCAGTGACTAACGAGTAAATTTCATTTTTAATTTCATCTTGCTTCTGTCTATTCGAACGCCATTTTGTCTTTTGTGTCCATAGCCAATGGCTGCACTACTGGCTTGCTTCAAAGCTTGTCAGCGGAAAACGTAAACTAACGACATTTTCGTTCCCTTATTTACACAATCAATTTTGCTTCTGTGATATGGGAAAAGGCAACCGGCAATGCTGTGAACATTTCTTGCCCCCCTCCTCCTCCCCCCACAGCTTGCATCTTGGGCGAGCATTTTTGGCATGCTATTGTTGCAGCTATTACCCCTATCTACCCCTACCTCAACGCCTACCCCCATCCCTGCCACTGGCCCTGTTGTATCGTTAAGTTGCACATGCATTGGCGGTGGCGTTGGCGTTTGTGCCGCGAGGGAAATTGTCGTCAAAGCGCAAAAAATGTCACATTGTTGTTTTAGCAGGGCACAAACAGACAAACACCCACACCCACACTTACACTCTCTCTCACACACACACACACACATGTCGCTTTGTGTAATACATAGTTCTAGTTTTTCGTATCCTTTTTTGATGTTGACCGCATTCGCATTCGAATTCGTTCGCTCGTTTCGACCGTTGCGCTCGTTTTTGGTGCCTTTTATTGTTTATGCAACTGTCAGCAGTTTTCTGTTCGTTCTGTTCCACTTCCAGCCCTTCAGCTCTTCAGCTCTTCAGCTAAAGTTTCGCTTACAATTGGAGATTTACTTTGCTTGGCACGTATGTAGCTCTCATCTATCTGGGTGATAGCTTGCTTTGGCTCAGGTTATTGGGTGGTTTACATCTGTGCGCCCGTTCCGTCTGTGTTGCATCATCATATTTGCTGTCGTTCCAAATTGTTTCTAGCACGACTTTTGACAGCTAGCAGATTAGGTGGAAACAGTATTGGTCCATACCATATATCCTTATACCTTATACATAACTTATAGTACGTATATGTATGTGCCAACGCTGATTGGCTGGGGAATCGCGTTCAGTTTCATTTTTTTGTAGACAGAAGCTACCTAACTAGATTATTATAATTGTCGTGCTTTTTCACCTCAAATGCATTACAGTACAAATTCCGTATAACGAACTCTGAGAGCAGCAATTACGTTTTACATAAAAATTTAAATTCTACTTATAATTCAAAAATAATTAATGTTAAATCAAATCGAACAGGAAAGCCTTCAAATGGTTAAAATAAAGATATAATGACTGATATATAAAATACCGGGGTTAATTTTGTATATATTTAATATAAAGTTTAAAGACGAATTAATTATTAGAAATCAATTATAAACATTATTTTGTATTTTATTTAATTGCTTAAAGCAATTATTCTTATATATAAAAACGGCCTTTCATAAAAAGCGATTTACCATAAATATAAGACAGTTAGAAAATTTTATTTTCCACACTTGCAATCTCAAATTATCACCAAACCGACACTAAAGATTCTCTGCTTTTGCTGCCAAAGTTTACTAGCTGGGAACATTGAAATGGCTTCCATCCAAAACTTTATTTAATTCCATTCACTTCCGGATATTTGCTTGCATTCAATGGCCTTTGAAACTTGGCTTTTATTCAAATTATTACTTTCAAAGGATCTTATAACTATTGCTACTACACTTTAGAATCCACTTCAGAAGATTCTGTTTCTTTCCATCTCTCTGTCTATTGGTGTATTCCGAAATAAGTCCACTATATCATATGGGTGCCATAGGAAAGATCAGTTCAAAAATAATGTATAATAGCACAACTTTCTTATTTATAACTCCATTGTTACCAATCCCGGTACTTATGAGTATTTTTTAATGATATCTGATTATATTCGGACGGTGTGTCTAATATACTAAGTAATATAATATGTTTTAAATATTGTTATATTGATATACGACTTTTGGAAATGGTTACAGGTACAGGGTATTCAAGGGTCCGGTTCGCGGGACTAGAGTATTATTCTCGATTTATTCGAATTTTTGTTATTTATAAAAGAGAGATTTTTATAGCCGAAGAATTAAATGTTTTACTTGGCAGTCTAAAAGGATGAACAAAGTGTTGGAGACCCTATGTTTCAGATATATGTGATCAACTACATGAAGTCATTACTGCTTGGTTGTCCATCTGTCTGCCCGTTGGGAAATATTAATGGTTTAAAGGCATTACTAGTGGGGACACCAATAATTTACATTGTTGTAATAATGTGTTACTAAGCATATGGATGAGTTTATTCGGAATCGGAGAAAGAAATATTACAAAAAGTTGATATAAATTGTAGGATATAAATTGGATAGATTACAGGTGCAAGGTATACGTAAGAGAGTTGGGTGTGTTTCAATTCAAATTGGTAATTATATTTTGATGGTCTCAGCATCGGATTGATTTTGAAAGTGCAGGTCTCCCAGAGCTTTACTTTTTTGACTGCGAATATTAACTGGGTCGAATTTTTGTACAATAGATACATGTGCCTAGCCATGAAGAGGAACTTTTTTGCAGAGAAAAGTTTTTTATAACGATGTTCAACTACATGCTCATGCTGTGAGTAATTTTTCGGCAAAGCCAAGCCTTTTCAAAAACTCATTAAGTGTGTCAACAGCAAGCTAGTATAGTTTAGCAACAAAAAAAAGTCTGGCTAAAATAAATAGAATTATTTTAAACTAAACTAACTAACACACACATACTCATATTTATAGTGC